ACCATACTCAAGAGTGCCACTGGGGAGTGGTCCTGGATTATTTAAAAGACCAGTTCATTACTCAATACTCACAACCACTTAGCTTCTCTATAGCATGGACTATGGGGAACTTCTGTGGCTTAGTATCTAAGGTTTTCTTATCTAAGTAGAAATCTATCTTAGCAGGCAGGCTACAACTGAGCTCTTTCCAGACACACAGACAAACATGCAATGGCTACTTGCTTTTGAATTGTTTAAGCTCTACCTCATGCACCAATTTTTCACATGGAGTACAGACTAGAGAAAAAAAAAATCACTCCCATCTTCACAAGTTCAAGAAAGACTAAATCACTGCTGTCTCTGGGAAGGTGATGGAGAAAATCCTCTGGGAAGTAATTTCCAAACTTTCTAAGGACAAGAAGCTGATTAGGAGGAGTCAGTGTGGATTTATAAAACAATAATCGTACTTGAGCAACCTGTCTGAAAGCCTTCTATGAAGAAACAGTTTGCTCAGTGAATCACAGAATCACAGAATGGCTTAAGTTGTAAGGGACCTTAATGATCACCTAGTTCTAACATCCCTGTCATTGACAGGGTAGAGTGGTTGGAAGTAGATGATCTTTAAGAGGAGAACACTTGATGCCTTGAATTCAAATCTTTCAAGACTGTCCACAATAGCCTTATGGACAAACAGATGAAGTGTAGTCTAGGAAAGTGGATAGGGAGACGGACCAGCTCTTTGGTTCCTCCTAGATGTAGTTATCAAACAAGAGCATCGCTAGAAAGACTTCAGTACCATGTTACTCACAGCACATTCATTCAGCACCAGTCCTGGGAGAAGTAAGTACCATTCACACCCATTTGGGGCAGTTTTATACAATGGCAATACTGTATTTATCAGAGATTGAGGCTCTACTGAACAACAAGGTGATGCAGAAGGTGATACACAAATACAGAGAGAGTAGGACTTTCTCCCCTTTCTAGAACAGTGGACTACTCGGGGTGTCTGCCTTAGAATGGGATGAATTACACTCTTAGACTCTTTACTTTAACAATAGAGGAAGCCTAGATGATTAACTTGGATGCACCTAAATAAATTTTAATAAATTTTAAAAGATAACAAGCTCTTAGGTAATTTTGGTTAGTTAAGCCTGAACCCCATTCCAAGTCAACTGAACAATTCAGAGCAACAGAGTATAAACTTCCATTCAGAGGAAGAAAAGTTAAAGCTTTGAAAGACAAATTGCATCAGGTCCCAGGAGGTGTATATAGCAGTAGTGTGAAACAAATGTAGGTCTACAGAGACTCAATAGCACCTTAACCACAAGATTGTCTTTGCCCTGAGTCACATTTCAATGCAAAGCTGCGTTGAATGTTGTTATTTCACAGTTTTGCTCCAACTTAAAACCAGTCAGCGATCAGCGAGGCCTTGTTGACCTCTTGAGAAAATCTCAAGAGGTGTTAAGAGTTTGCAATGAGTTTCTACAAGATCTTCTTGGAAGTGGATGGAGATTTATAGCAGCATTTTTCTTTGAATTTTTAACTTTTTATATATTCAGATTCAAAATGAAATGGCATGTTCTTGAATGCTCTGGAGTTTGAAACTAAAGACAGTTTCAAAAGACCATAAATGCTGAGTTTTGTGCCTCCATGGTTACCAGGACTTTAGTGCAGGAGAAGGGAAGAGGCTTCTTGATGGGAACGGGGATATTGTGTCCTCTGGTTCCCCTTAATGAGGGTGACTGAGAGCCATGATGATTGAGAGTTTCCTTTCTGAAGTTCCTTTAACAACCACAGTGCACTTATGACTCATTTTTGATGCAAGTTCTTCCTTGACAGGGACAAAGCATGATGACATTTCCAGTCTTTAGGTCAGTGTTTCAGTACTTTGCTGCTGGCAAACGTCCCATGAGCAGCCACTGAATGGGTGCAGGTCCAGTCCACCTTCCACAGTGCTCATGCTTACATAGAGGTGTCCAACTGCTCTCAGGGATGCTTTGGGGTAACAGGGCTTGGAGATACATCACAGATAATAAAAGAGACCCTTGCTCACTAGAGGGATGCAGGGAAGTCCTGCAGGATACCTGGGAGTCTCGGTGAAGAATCACGACTAAAGATGAACTGTATTTCTGTGCTGTAGAGAGCTGAATTCACGTGTTTAAATTGAGATCTGAATCCAGGCTCGTGTCAGAAATACTTTCATTTCTGAAGGAAATGTAAGAGTAGACATGGCTGTATCATCCAGGAGGACAGATTAGAGACTGTTCATCTGTTCTCGTCTCATACTCTCTTACACTCTGAAATCTCCAGAAATCTTGTGCTTAATCTACAAAAAACAGTTCTGAGAAGATGCTAATGGCTTTGAAAAGTTGAAAGAAAAACAGTACAGCTGTAGTTGAAAACACCAAATGAAGGGAAATGAAAGGGGCATGAAATTATACCATCCAAATTATACCATCCTGTATCCCTCCCTTCTCTGTTTTCTTCTTCTGTGCTTGTTTCATCCTCCACAAGCTGTTGCTCTTTTTTCTCATTTCCTTTTCATTTTCCTATTGTTTTATATCCTTGTATATATAAATATTTAGTTGACATAGATGATAAAGGACTCCACCTGTTACCTGTTACCAACAGTAGGCAAGATACTCGCTTTCTCAGGTACAGTAGCTGTGTAAAACCACTGGTTTGCAACCAGTTCCAGTTACAGAAGAGCCAGAAGTACTTTAGTTCCTTGTTTCACCAGCTTTGCATGCCCTGTCTTGGTTGCTGTGATACAACAAAACTAAAACATTTTTGTAAGCAGGAAAGGTAGAAAAACTTCCTGTGGTCTTCACTGAGACCTACAGTAGCTTCACAACATTGCAAGGCACAATTTGGGTACATATCATGATCTTACTAGCTGATCTGGCACCTCTTGGAGGGAGAGATCAGTTTAGATCGCAGCTGTGATATCTCAGTTTTTAAGTTTATAAGATGAAAATACAGTTGTAAAGGGAAGAGTATACCTAACTTGAAGTACACACTTTTTGGAGCTGTACTGACACAGGCACTTTTAGAATCACTGGGCAAAGCTACCTTCCACCTCAGCATGAGCATCAAAAGGCTTGATAGGATGCAGAATGGAGCTCAGTGTTCCCAATGGGACAGGTAGCCCTACAGAGGAGCTGCAAACCAGCCTGGTGACTCAATTGGTTTGACTTCCATTCCTGATCTACTTATTAGCCTGAGGTGTAGTTTGATGAATGCCAGCTGCAGGAATTTGTATCTGTCCAGTGAAGCAGCTCCTGAAGCTCTAGTTGAAGCAGGTGGTTCTGGAGGTTGGAATCTGGTGTTTGCAGGCACCATGCTCCTACATCAGTGCTGTGACCCCACAGGGTTTTGGAACAGTACTGGACTTCTAGCAAATGAATAATCAAACCTGGCAAGACCTGACAAGCTCTACTATGCCAATTATATTATTTGGAGAAGAAGGAAGGAGAAAAGAGAAAAGAGAGGAAAGGAGAGGAGAGGAAACGGATAGGGGAAAGGGAAGGGAAGTGGAAAGGGAAAGGGAAGTGGAAAGAGAAGGGGAGGAGAAGAGAGGAGAGGGACAGTTATGGAGGTGTCATATTAAGCCAAAGCAAAAGAACATTTCTGTGACTGCTAGGGCTCCTGTTCATTTCCGTGTGGGTGTTTGGCTTTCAGCCCATGTCAGCTCCTATCTCTTGATCACTCTCACCACAAGAACACACTTACTGCTTGCCACATCTCTCCTTGCATACCACAGACACAGTTGGGCAGGTTTTCAGGCTGTGGCCCTGGTGAGAAATGCAGCACGTGTGGTGGCACATACCCATCCCTCCTGCCTCCCTCCCCCCAGCCTCAGTAGGCTTGTTTTTTAAACAAAAGATGCTCTGCAGAGAGAAGCAGCCACTTCTTTCTTGTGATTTGCATCAAAAGCCCTGCAGTAACCTCACCGCTGCATCTGCTCTAGCAGTTAACAAAACATGCACTTCCTCAGAAGTCGCTCTTATGTTTGGCTGCTTTTGCTACACAAGAACTACAGCTGGGGCGTGGAAAACCCTGTCTCTGGTCAGAGAGGTGTTAAACCCTTCTGCTCTTCAGTTACTCAACCACAAGAGGTGATTCAGCACCTTCCTTCCTCAGGCTGTGTACTTGGGCTCTCCCTGCATAGCTGCCAAGTGTAAACCACTGTGCCCTTGCAAGAAAACATCATCTCTGAGACATTTAAAATAGTGTGTTGCTCAACTGACTTTAAATGCACAGAAATTCAGCATCTGGGCTGAGTCAGGCTATCTAGACTCCTTCCATAGCATGTGGACTGTCAGTCACTCCAAGGAGTTGGCTGATCAGTCCCTGGTGAGGTGTTGAAGACCATGGAATCATAGAAGAGAAGGTTGGAAAAACACCTCTAAGATCATCAACTCATCCCCACCATGCCCCTTAAACCATGTTCCTCAGTGCCACATCCAGACCTTCCTCAAACACCTCCAGGAACAATAACCCCACCACCTCCCTGGGCAACCTGTGTCAATGCCTCACCACTCTTCCTGAGAATAATGTTTTCCTAATACCCAATCTAAAGATGGCCAGCAATGCCCTCAAACACTGACCATCTCTTCACATCTGGCTCTGCAATTCTATAGATCCTGGTTACAGCCGTCTTACCCCCTGATAACAAAAAGGAACATTTTACTTCTTAGATTCCTCTGCACACCACGAAATCCTGGTTTAGGTGCTCACCTGTTACTGATGATTGCTATGAGCTCTTCAGTAGAAATAAACACATTCACATCCAGGGACAAATTGACCATGTTGTGTATTTTGTGGCATCAGCAAAAAATGCAGGTTGCATTTGGCTTCTGAATTGCTCGTGCAGTCATGGAAGAGTTACAGTTGCCCAAATGCCTGATGACCCTGTGTATTTATGGTCTGAACATCCCACAGAAAACAAAGAGACATTTTAACAGCTTTTCATAGCACCTCTGGGTTTTTTTCCACATTAATCACTTTCACACTCATTTTCCATCAGTATACAACATTTTATTAAACTGTACAAACAGCATTTCAGAAATCCACTTTAACCGTTCAAATTAAATGTGAAAACCAACTGCACAAACTGCAAGCACAGATCCCCCTGTACTTTATGCAGCACAAACAAGAATTCCACAAAAAGTCACAGGGCTGAAATCTGCTTTGCTTTTCTTTTTCGTCAATGTTAGGCACCTTTTATTGTCAGCCTTGCAGGATTCAGTGCCTGCAGTCACTGCCAGCAATATCCCAGCAGTGGCTGCACAGCCTGCAAGACTGCATTCATCCTGTTGGGAGCTCCAGGTTAACAGTCTGTTCCAGTGGAGCCAGAAAGGCACCTCCAAAAAGAATCTGATTTTGAGATGATTCACCTTCTTTGAGATGATTCATCTTCTTAAAGGGGCTGAGGTTGTTCATGCAACAAAACACCAAATTTACACATTCCAGTTAGAGCCAAATGCAAGCTGGGGTGACTTAAGTCTAAATTATTAAAGAATCTTCTGTTTGGACTTTGACTTAATTTTGACACAGTACTTACTGGTGTAAAAATCAGTAGTTGGCAGATTCTATGTTTCTCCAACTTCTGAAAACAGCACAACTTTATTTTAAAAGATCTTGTTATGAATGGGTAAGGGATGAGATTATTATTGACCAGTTGCATTTCACAGCCTGCTAGAGGATAGAATATGCAGCAAAATATCATGAAGTGAAGGAGAGGATCATTCTCAAGTGGCGTGCCATCCCACACTGCAATGTTTGTGTCTGCAATGCATGTCAAAGTGTCGGGGCACCATTTACAGCAACAGGAAGTATATCAACTTTTATAAGGACTGATTACTAACATGCCAGTGAAATACAGCAATCGTTGGAAAGTTGATTTTATGATGCTTAAAGAAAGGTTTGAGGAAAACATTTCTAAATATCTGATTCAGTTTCAGAAAAAACTCCAGACAGTCCAGTCCATATTTTGCAGTGATTCTGGTATGTTTAAGGACAGTTAAAGCTTTAGAACAGGGATTATCAATGTTTTCTTCTGGACTGCTACCTCCCATATTTTCTGCTCAAGTACTGAGAGTAAAACCACTGAGTTTCTATATTGATCTTGATACTTGAGAGTGCAATGCTCCTCATTTATGTTTAAACCATTGGTTGAGACATAGAAATGCTGGAAAGTGCACCTACAAAATTTCTTAATCCCAGTGGACCTCGTGGCATAAAAAGGAATCCTAATACCTGTGAAGATTATTTTTTAGGCATGAGGGGGAATATCTAGCTTCTTCAACATTCCTGTGCATGTAGGCTCATTTCTGCACATGTTCAAATGGAAGCTGCAAAAGCACCCAACCTGAAGTCTTTCCCAGATGCCCTCAGGACCTGAGCTCAACTCTCCTTTTTCAGGATAAGAATTGCAGAAACAGGCACTGAAAACATCATTACTTGCTGCTTCTTATGGAGAAACCCACTGACTGGGAGTACAAGTACAGAGGAAAATGTTTTGTCATCTCCTGCTCTTCAGATGTTTGAAACTTCAAGAATGTTGGGAAAACAGAGAAGAGAGGCCGAAAGATACCATGATGAGACTTCATCCTTAGTGAAGTGTGGCTGGCATCTGCTCCAGGCTGGAACAAGCTGAAAGCCTCTAGGCATGGTACAAAGTTTCACTGATGTGTTTTTCTGGTGGGTTCTTGATAAAAAACAACCATGCACAATCTTCAGTTGACAAAATGCTACTCAAATCGTATGGGAAATTCCATCAGTAAGGCAGATCTCAGGAAAATATATTCTCCATTTTAGGGGTCACAAAAGAAAAGTTGCGGAACATATTTTGGTCCATGCTGTTAATCAGTGTCCTGTCAGCACAGGACAGTCTAGGCTTTTCACTTAGAAATTCCTTGTCGAAGTTGCTACAGTCACTTGGAGATTTCTTTGAGAAAAGGGAAAATAAAGCACTGTTAAATCACTAATACTCTTACGTTCATTATAATGCTGCTGGCGCTATCAGGCTGGTTCCTGTAGACTCAAGTTTCACCAAGGAACAATGTGTTTGTCTCTGCTTTCTTCCACTATAGTTAGCTACTAGAGCCCAAATAATGCACAGTAACTTGTCAGGATGCACTGAAGTGCTGTCTGAACTTTTAATATCCAGCAATCAGCGCTAATCACTTTCTTATTACTGTCCTATTGCAGTAGTAATGGGAATAACTTTTACATAAGAAGCACAGAGCCTGTGATCCATGTATTCTGCCATGCAGGGATGTTACAACACTGCAAAACAGCAAACTGGATCCACTGATTAAAAAATGCTTGTGAAAGACTGAAAAACAGAAGTGTGATGCACATATCAAAGTAAATTATTTTACTGTTAGTAATAGGACTGATTCAATTCTAACTTAATTGACCACCTGGTTACCGAAACTACTTTTTCTTCTTTATCCTCTGCAGAGAAATAACAGATAAATCCTACAGAATGGGCCATATTTATGCAGATAAGGAAAGGCATTCTAAGTGGCATTCAAACCCCTCCTATGCTAACTGAAACAGGGATGAGTTCCTCACTTTATTGTTCCCCAGGCCTGGGCTCCTTTTAGCCATCAGAAAGGAGTAGTACCAAGGCAGGCATCCTAGCCAATATGTAGCTATAGCTCATAATTCTCTAATGCCTGTACAATGGGGCTATGGCAGATCAAAATTGTAGATGGTTTCAGCCATCTATCTTATACATATATCTGATGTACACAACAGCCTTTGCACAATTTAATCAGCATTTGGACACTTGAGCAAGAGTCAACATTTTCCATTCCAGCTGCCCAAGACCAAGGTCCTCCTTCAACTTTTATATCTGGAAGTAGGATGTATAGAACTCCAGAAGATGACCCTGAAAATCCGAGGGCATTTTGAAAGCCCTGGTGCCTTCAGCTGCTAGTTTAAATATGAAGTCAAAATGTATTCACCTTTACAATGCTGACTCCATGAATCTAAACAAGACTTGAGCTATCTGATTTTCAAGACCCACGTCTGAAAACTTTTGATCCTTAAATGAAGTAGATCAAAATAGAACTGTTGGTTCTGGCACTGGTTTATTGCTTGCATGTGCTTGAGGGTATAAATATTTGGGGAAGGAATGATTTAGGATAGAATGGCATGAGATGGGGGGAAATGAAAGAAGATGTAGCCTTACCACTCTTGGTTTGAAAGGAGGCTCCATCCTTCTTTCTTCTAAAGCTTCCCAGTTTATTTCCCTGAAAAAGGCATGCTGGCGAATATTCCCTTTTGCTCCTAGTCTTCTCTCAGGTTCTCTCACAAAAAGCTAAAATTTTGAAGAAAAATAAAATGCCTTACTATTTATTATTTATTAATAACAGAGTATTCATTGGGATCCTATCAGATAGGATCTCATGCTTCAAACTCAGCAACACTGATGAGAGCATGAAGACTCTTCTACCTTACTAAATTTCTGACTGGATAACCAGTTTGGTCATATTTTATCTTTGTAAGAGAGAGACAACAAATTTGCTACAGTGATGAGAACATATGCGTCTGAGAGTGCAAGCATGCAGCTACATAGGTGAAATCTCTATATCACACTTGAAAGCTTTTGTCTAGATGATTTTATCAGGCAAATACTTACAGCTGAAATATAAGCATACTCTGTGTAAATATTGGTCTGAGTTATGTGGGGTTGCTTTCACCTCCCATAGCTTTGGATCATTTGAGTGTCTTTATTTGACCCCTCATTTTTAATAAAGAAAAAAGATTCAATTTAGGTGCAGAATATCTATGTCTTCCTGAAGCAAGTGCTTTTTGAATGCTTTCATTATTATCACTTTATAGTGAGTCCACTGCTCACACAACAGAAGCTAAAACAATCTCTTATTCTCCATTATTTTGCAGTGGAATGCTGTATATTGCCCTGTCACTTTGTAAATACAAAAGTAAAGGTATGGACTGTGGGTCAAATGTGACCAAAAGTTAGTGATGAACAAGTTTACTCACATTAGCTGAATCATATCACCCTTTGTACATGCTTTCTTACCATGCTCATTCATGAGATAAGAGGCCTTAGCTTAAATAATGTTCATAGTCAGCCCAAAACCTGACTGAGGGAAAGTAGCTTGTTAGCTTAACTATGACATCACTAAGTTTTTATCTATCTTAACTCAAGAAGAATTTCCATCCCAAGCCAGAAGGGCTACACTGCTACCTGGCATAGTACTGAGAATAAGGCAATGAAACATAAAGTGCACTGATGGTTGGTAACCAAACAGGCTGAAAGGATGGCCATTAAAAGGAGGCAGAAGAGTGCTTCATTGACAATGGACACTACACGTTACTGTGTAGGAGAAAAGGGCCAAAAATCCAGACAACATGGGGCAAAAAGACTTTCATCTGATCTGTGATAATTCTTACCTTTACCAGAATGTCCTTTGCATCCTTGTCAAGCCAGCGAGGGTAGAATGGATTATCCATACGGATAGACTGGAAAAGCTCCTCTTCATCTTGGCCATGGAAAGGAGATTGGCCAATAAGCATCTCATACAGGAGGACACCAAACGACCACCAGTCAACTGAGTTGTTGTATTTCTGCCCCAGCAGTATCTGCCCAAAGACAAGAGACAAAGTCAGACATAAAATGTCTGTTGTCAGTATTTCAGCTTCAGAGATGTGGCCCGGCTCTCATCCTTCAGCAGCTGCTTTGCTCTGAATATGACAGCAGAGGTACTTTTCCTACCTGAAGCATGAACCAGAGCACCTGTCAGTGGTACAGGTGCTGTGATTCAAGAAGCTCCTAATCACACTTGGGTGCCAGAACAGTACTTCACACTATGGACACTCTGAACAACAGTTTGTTTTCTAGTTGACTCTTAAGTATATAACAAATAACTCCTTCAGTCCCTATGTAAACAAGATCTGCACTGTGCAACTATATAAAATCCACATTGTTCAAATATTTATATTTGTTTTCAAGAGGACGTAGTGTCAACGTGTTGAGAACTCAACATGGCCAAACTGCCTGTTTAACATGCTCAGTGGCCTCAAAAATCTTCATAAAAATGCAATGCTGCTGCAATACAAACCACAGGCTATGTTAGTTCAACCCCTTTTAGTCAGTTCAACTGCGTTTTAGCTTCACATAGAACAAAGCATCTGAGGATCCTGAAATCATAACTCAGAGTTTTTCTTGGTATGCCAAATCCTTCTTCCAAGAGGTTTTGGTTTCATCAGAAATTGACTAGGACAGGTTGGCTGAGGTAATGATCTCCCCTACTGATCAGGTTGGCACTGTTTTCCCCTACAAACTTGCCCAGATACCACCAACCTCTCAGACTTCCCTGACAGAGAATTAATCTCACCAGCCTTTAGATATTCGTTATGCAGATAAGAAAATTATGCAAATTTTAGACATCACACTGAATATCTACCTGCTGTAAAATGCAACCCTGGTTTTTCTCTTTTGCTTATCAAGGAGTCTAGACAACATGCTCATATTCAAAGCCAGGTTGGATGGGGCTTTGAGCAGCCTAGTCTGGTGGGAGGTGTCCTTGCCTATACAAAGGGGTTGGAACTAGGTGATCTTAAAGGCTGCTTCAAACCCAAACCATTCTATGATTTTATGATATATAGGTAATTACATTACAGATGTCTAATGAAAAGTCTAAAAATCTTCTTTAGAAGTCCACAGTGTCTGGAATTGTTATCAGCATCTTGGAGCTGGGGAGGGTAATAGGTCATTTTAAGCCATGATCTTGTGCTCACAACCTGGTTGCACTGCCATCTCCTATAAAACAGCTGCAGTGCAGGTGTCAATGGCAAACCATGGAAGTGGCTTAATAACAGTTAAAACAATCACCTAGACCAGCAAATATAAATTTGCTGATAACTGAAAAGTTGTGATTTAGAGAGAGAATCTTTACTTCTAGCTCTGAGGTACAGCAGACATGTCTGAATCTACTGTACTACCTTGTCTGAATGTCTTGTAAGTGCTTTAGAGAGGTGTTTGCCACTTGGACCTGGATTCATTTGATTTCCTAAAGGTTATGTATTTCATTTAGCTAGTTTTCCAGAGTCTTTCTAGAGTCAATGGAGGAAAAACGTTGATTTATCTAATTTACACATCTGTGGTAGGAAGGGATGAATTGGCTTCTTGAGATGCTTGTTTTCCAACAGTGCTATAAGGTGCCACCTGATTCTTCATTTTTTGATGGATTTTCTCATGGTAGGTGAGAATATCCCCCTCTGAGGTACTTGTAGCATCTAGCAAAGTAGGACCTTAACATCTTATGTCTAAACCCAAGCTGATGTAGAGTGCTCATGACTAACATACCTGTCTCCAAAATTCCAAAAGAGGAAACACAAAGAATCATCACAAAAAAGGTATCTATTTGAATACAAGAGACAATATAAACAACATGTTTCACTCAGAGTGAAAAAAAAAAGGAAGCAGAAAGTCTGTTTATAAACAAAATCATCCAAACCTTTCCCTCTGAAAAGACGCATTTCTTTTACGAGGCCTTTTCAAATTATAAAGTGTCTGCAAAACTAAATTAAATGATTTCTGTTGGTTAAGAGAAAGATTTATTAGTTTTGTTTTCTCTGAAAATGTGAAGTCCAGAAATTTCATTTCAGGTTAATTCTTTTTTTTTTTTTTTCCAAATATTTTTTAAGATAAACGCTTGCTCGTCTATTGACCCAAAGTCCTCCTGTTTGCACAGCTACAGAAAAGCGCTGGGTGTGTAACAAATTACAGTGCTAGCAGTCACATTAAAATACTGACAAGAAGTCCATAGGTCCAATTGGTACTGCATCCAGATGTGGAGTCCTCAGCACAGGAGAGACATATATCAGTTGGAACGTGTCCAGAGGACGGACACCAAAATGATCCAAAGGATGGAACACCTCTCCTATGAGGACAGGCTGAGAGAGCTGGGGCTGTGCAGCCTGGAGATGAGAACGCTGCAAAGTGACCTGATAGTGGCCTGTCAGTATCTAAAGGGGAGCTGTAGGAAAGAAGGGGGCAGACTCTTTAGGAGGATCTGTTGTGACAAGACAGGGGAAATGGCTTCCCCTTAAGAAGGGTAGATTTAGGTTGGATATAAAGAAAAAATGTTTTACAGTGAGGTTGGTGAGGCACTGGAACAGGTTGCCCAGAGATGTGGAGACTTTCAAGGCAAGGCTGGATCAGGCCCTGGGCAACCAGATTCAGATGTCCATGTCCCTGTTCAATGCAGGGGAGTTGAACTAGACGACTTCAGGAGTCCCTTTTGACTCTAAAGATTCTATGATTCTATGACCCTCCAGCAGCAGAATTGATCCATAAACTAGCAGTGCTTTCAGTTTGGAGGTAAAATGTTTTATATGCACTTGTTGGATCCCTAAAATAAATGATAGTGTAGAAATAAACCTATGAGCTATTTCTGACTCTTTCATAAAGTAAAATCACATGTAATGGATTATCATTTGGCGCTCCTTTAGGATCCAAAAAATGTATTTTCTTTTTAAAACAAAAGCATATTGAAATGAAATAAATGACGATTTCATTTTGATGGCAGAGCACATTTACATCTGTTCTCAGGCAACAGAAATCCAGTTATTGAAGAGACTTGTCCTTGTGACAGCAGTGGAGTAATTTAGATCAGAACTGAGGTCTTGGTAAAGAGTAAATGATCAATGAATTATAGTAGAGGGGAAGGAAAAAAAAAAGAACAACCAAAAGCTTTAAGAGCAACTTGGAAAGCACTGATATCCATCATGAAAACACTAAAATAATGAAATGGGATTCTGAAAGGGAAATAAATGGATTTCAGAGTGATGTCAGACATGACGCATGGATGAGTCTTAGATTCTTCTCTGAGATGAAAAATGTCTTCTTTGGCCTCATTTTGCCACCTGATTAGTCAGAATCTCTTCACAGTGACATCTGTCATTGTTTGAACTCACTGCTGTAAGGGAGCACCCTATTTTCTGGATGGATCTTGTCCAAACTGAAATCTAGTGTCTGGACCACCTGGATTTACTACGTGGGCAGATGAAGGCCAAATTCAGTTTTTCTACATCATGTACAAGGGCTGCTCTGAAAGTAGTATCTCCTATTTTATTATGTTGGCTCATAACGTCAGAGGTGTATGTAGAGGTTAAATCTTCCCACCAGTATTTAGTTACAGTTTGTTGCTGTGTGACAGATGGCAGCAGAGAGGCAGTCTGACAAAATGGCATCTGCCATGGGAGTGCATATGAAGCAAAGGTGTGGAACTGAACTCCTCTGTGAAATAAAAATTGCACCTGTTGATATTCACTGATTGCTGAACATGAGAAAAGACTTAATAGTGGATGTTAGCACAGTGAGGTGCTTAGTGATGCCTTTCAGTCACGATGCCATTGCAGCAGCTGTGAAACAGTGAGTCACCTCTGCTGGTGCAGATTTTTACGAGTGCAGTATGCAGGCTCTTGTACATTGCTGGTGAAAATACACTGCTAATGGTGGTGACTATGTTAAAAAATACTGTTTTGTAGCTAAGAATTTGTTCTATCAAATAGTGTTATGGTGCTCTTTGTATTTGTTGTATAGTTTGCATAGGGATAAATAGTAGGCGTTACTTTCAGAGTGACCTATGTATCAGCAGATATCAAATGGGGAAGGAAAAGAGCATTTTCTAGTATATCTATGCTCCATGCAACCTGGAGACAGTCTACAGGCAAGTTCCAGCCTCACAGGACAGTACCTCACAGATAGCACAAATATTCAAGTCAAGGGGGTAGAGCTCAGCCTTAACAAAACCTATGAGCTCTACCCTGCCCTTGTTAGCTCAAGCACGTTCAGGACTGGACATAGCCACATCACTGCTAGTTTTAGGGTCTCCTTCACCAGGGTGCAGCTTGCAGAGTTAAACTGAAATACAGTTTTAGCCTGGGACTATTCAAATGTAGGCTATTGCATTTTGCAGCCTTCATCATCACTGACCAACAGTCATGTCTCGAGGTGAGTTCTCTGTCCCACAGTGGATTTTCAACATCTCTCAGCCTCACACCTACCTCAGGAGCAATATAGTCAGGAGTCCCACAGAAAGTACTTGTCTTTGCATCTCCAAACATGTTCTCCTTACACATCCCAAAGTCGGCAATTTTGATGTGCCCTTCACTGTCCAAGAGGACGTTGTCTAGCTTCAAGTCCCTATGGAGGAGAAGAAGAGAACACATTTTTAAACTGTTACAGAGCCATGCAGTTTTAGCAGTGTACACCCTTCAATTTGTTATCTTCCTCTGTGTAGTGCCTTTGTACTGCAACTACAAAGGGAGACTGTTGAAGGAGGAGCTGCTGTCCATTGAAGTCCAATATCCCTCTTCCTCATTTTCCCTGTCCAAGCACAGACCTATTTGCTGGTTAAGACTTTAACCACGCTCTGTTTTTCAATTTATTTTTATCAGAAATGATACTGACTAATTGACTCTCTCAAAGAAGGTCACTTCTAATGCACTGTGTTACAGAGATGGTTTTCTACAGATGCAGGAAAGATGGCTCTTATTCCTCCTTCTACAAAACTTCTTTGCAGTGCCTACACAACAAACTGTTGTCATGGGGCAATTATTTGCTGTTGCTAGAAAACAGACAAAGAAATAGTAGGAGTCATCAATCAAAAAGAAATATAGAGACAACCAAGACATTTGCTTTCAGTGGCAGACATTCATGTTGTCACAGTTTCCAGCTGGAGTGACTTATTTTAGTTACATCATGGAGATCAATCTCTGCCTGTCAGCACTGCTTTTATTCATCTGGTAGTTTGAAGTAAAACAAAAAGTCCATCACCTACAGTTTGCTTTTGCAATTTTGATGAGTCTCAAACTCATTGGCTTCAGAGATTGGAGTTTCTGCCAAAACGGCCTCTGCTCATTCATTAAAATTTAAGACAACATTTCCAGATATGGGTGCAGGACACAGAACAGCTGGATTCATTGTTCTTACGACATCACAAGTTGTGTGGCTTCAGAAATGATTTCTATCCATTTTCCTAAGTGCTTAGTTAGCTCTGACTGAGATACTGATTGATGTAAGTTCTCAGCAGACCTTATTTTCATTGTCTCCAGCAAAAAAAGGCAAATGAAGCAGGACTGGTCAAATCTTTTCTATCAAAGCCTGATACCCAAAGCAAAGCCACACTGATTCCTGAGCTACTTATTCATACGAACATGTTACCTAATGTCTAACCAACACTTTGCCCTAGCTTTCCAACATGGCACATGGCTCCAGGCTCTCACAATCACTCTTCTTTCACAGGAAGGTTCTGAGACCTGTCTTCCTGGTCCCAGAACCTGGCAGACAACTGGAGTAGCAGTTTCAAATAAAAATGTGAGTGGTATGCAAAAAGTCAGTGTTAACAGTCCTGTCATGAACCCAAAATATCCTGCAAATACTTTTGATCAACTTTTGTAAGAAGAGTGGGCAAAACCAATGGATACAGCTAAGTGGTTTGGGAACCACTGAAACTCTAGAAACCATCCTGTCTTAATTGAAACAGATCTCATGTTTATGCAACTGCCATCATGGGTCAATAAACAGCTCTCACAATGAGTACTAATAATGAATAATGAAATTTTATATGAAAGAAAGTTTCATTTTAATGAGAGAGTGAATTGCAAATAAGCCACTCACTTTTACATCGTTCTAATGTTCACAATATGTAACAAACATTGAAATAAGCTCATTTTGGCTTCAGGAAACATCACTGATTCAGTGATCTTACTTATTTGCTTGTGACAAGCTATTTACTTCCTGCTTTTATAAAAGGTTGCAGTGTAATAACTAAGGTTTTCCAAGAAGACAAGTTAGATGAGAGCTCCCCAGAAATTCAGTTTCTCCTTTCAACCATTTCCCCGTTTTTGCAGTCCCTCTTGGTTCCATCTTGTCCCCATCTTTTCTTATAGGTCCCAAGCACAACCCTTGTGTGTCAGATCAAAACACCTACGAAGAACTTCCAGGCTCTCAAGAAGTGAACAAGCAGCACAGCAGATACTGCAAATTTCTCATGATTTGGCTGAACTTATCCATCTCAATACATGGAAAGCTTAAACTGAGTGCTTATGCTGAGTGCTATATGAATGACTTGGTGTAAATGAATCAATTAGCCTGCTTTAATGTTAATTGGAAAAGGACTGAATTCCAAAGAAGGGCTCCACTCTTTTCTGAACTACCTCTTCAAAAGAAAACAGCCAGTCTTTATTGAAGGAAATCTGCATAGAAGTGTAATCTCCAAGTAATATCTCCAAGAAAGTCTCTTACAATCGGTACTTCCAGGGAAAGCACAGAAGTTTAACATATTAGACAGTAAGGAGAAAAATTACCTGTATATTATGCCCTTTAAATGGAGAAACTGCAGCCCACTTATGATTTCAGCAGCATAAAACCTGCGTGATAGAAAGAACAAATCAGAATATATGTTTCCCAAAAGTTGTTTTCAGCTAGACCCCCAAAAGATGAAAGTTTGCCTTCACAGGAGCCAAAATTTCACTGAGCCCCTGAAGGCCTGGAGTGTCTCCAGAAGGCTGGATTTTACAGGAAGGACAATATGAGAATCCCAAAACCATTCTACATAGCTAGCAGTCCATCTTCCACTGAAACTACTTTGGGAAAGGGCAAGGATTTGATGTGCAGTCATCTTCAGGGCTTTGGTAACCACATTACATGACTAGCTGTAAATTTTTGATGTGCAAATGTCTATGTGGATGTGTCCTTAAGTGCACCAGGTTGGAGGACATCTGGGTTTGGGAACAGAGATTCCTCAGCTTGTCAAGCAGATCTTTTCATTGCCCGGATTAATGACGTGTTTCCAAAGTTTTACCCAAGATGTGAACTAGCTAGCAGCTTGGTGGTCTTTCTGTGGAGACTTTTTGAGTTTTACATCTTTGTTCTGAACAAGTTTCTGCCTAAACTGCAGAATGAAAATGCTCTGCCCAGAAAGGAATGTAACCACCAGCTCATATTCCCTTTGTGTTGTTGTAAGGCTTTGCTCCATCATCTTCACTGCACTGACCTCAGGCTTAATTATTAACATTCAAATAGTTTTATAAAAAATAAGAAGCCCAGCAAAGTGAACACAGATTTAAATGAAGTTTTTAGTTCCACAGACGGCTGAAAATGTTTCTGTGGGATTTCTTTGATGATGGCAAAGCCAGGGCAGAGTTTGGGTGCACAATCATTTTTCTAGGGCCTCCAATTCTGGACTGCTCAAGAACTTAATCAATGCAATCCTAGAGCAACCCCAGGGCTGTTTTAATTCAAAGCAGACACCTCTAGGCTGCTTTAAAACGAACCTCACCTAAATAAGATTTCAGGCATGATCAGTGCTATTTGCAGACACCTTTAGAGGTAATATCTCAGGCAAAGATCTACACTCTGTGAAGTGGACTAATGCAGCAAGTAAAGCAGCCTATGGCACAGCTTCTATCCAATTTTGATGTTTGAGGAACTATTTAAATGTCAGTGGGACTATTCTGAGGTTAGCGCAAGTATGACAGCCAGGTCACAGGATGTGAGGAAGCCTCTCATCTGTAAGCTGAAGGATGAGACTGCAGGCAGACGCAATGCTGACGAGGGTGTAGCACCATCTGTAACACTTTCAGACAGAAATAGCTTCCCTAGTTGACCAAGAATGCAAAGCAAGTTCACATCTGACTGCAATGAACTGCGTGGATGTACTCTAAAAAGCCTTTTGTGGGAGGGGAAAGACAGGGAGAGGAAGTGACTAGCTCCAAGTCTGTCATTGAGATGAGGTGATGACCTGCATATCTATTTTGTTCATTTTGGAGAGAGTGGGAATTGAAAGTGGTTCTGCTTTCATGCTAAAAAGCCAGCTGAGAGCACTTTGCAGAATAAGTAAGTCATAGAGAAGTCAAAAGTTGTGCCCAGGTTTACCATCACAGGACAGTGGTAGACCTGGAAAACTAAGAGCCCTAGTGTCCCCATCTTCCTCCTTTGTTTCTACCACGTGCCAAAAGGTAACCATAACATCTTACGTTGCTCTGGGAAGGTCAAATTTATGACAACTCTGGATATGGAACATGAGGTCTCCTCCGTTGAGATATTCCATCACAAAAAATAGATTTTCCTAGAGAATGAGATAAGACAAATATTAGGGGTGGGGAAGATGAAAATAAAAAAGAGGAAGGAAAATATTAGGGTCAGGGTTTTCAGCAGAAAGCAGCTTATCTTTCAAGTTCCTAATTTCTGCTTCTTGGTGTGTAAGCCTGTACTTATCCTCATTACTTTAATTTCTATGAACAGCATTAACAAACATTGTGAAGCCACATAATAACCAGCTGGTGCCATTGTTTTTACCAGTAGAACTGAAGGATCACTGGAAAGAAATAAGTAACTTTGCAGAGCTTGCATAATGAAAGGAGAGATAGACAAGATTCCTGGGGGACTGATGGAAGAGAAAGAAGCAAATCTCAGATCTCCTCTGGTCCCCAGCCCAATGTATCATTCACTCAGTGGAGTGATCTCAAGTTGCTGTTACCTGCGTGCCCAAACATCTTTTATGGATGAACATGGCTCTCGCCTTTCTGAGTTGCCAGAGACACTGGCCAAATGCAGTTATCTAATCTGAGCTCATGCTTGATTTGAAGCCTGGGAGCTGCTACATTAAATAAGGCAGGACTTAACTTGCTAGTCTACTCGTATTTGTTGACTGGGTACTTACATGCTAGAGAAAAGTGAAAAAATACCAAGTCTTTGCTCCCCTACCAGGGCAGTGGAAAACTCTCCTCTTGGTACTTAAGAGGGATGGGGGAGATCTCCGTATTGAACAAATGGCAGAAATGATCACCTAGGTTTCCTTTCCAGTCGTTGGTGTATGCCATACTGACTCCCCCCTATCTTCACCACCAGACCCATGAAAAAGCTGGAGGGCAGTTTCCTCAAGTTGGCTTGAAGCAGAATGTACCACACATATCAATGGTGGCCATGGCCTTTAGCCCAAGTGCAAACCATGGAATGTCCCTTCTGCACTTAAGTGTACCTATAAAGCAAGAAGATCTCTGTTTTCTGGAAAGAGGCTATCTGTGCAATGAGTTATGCTCCCAATTTAAACTTCTGTTTCAGTAACGCCAGCTTCTGTGTATAAATGCACAAATAAAATAAAATGGATGTGATGTTTTCTCTGTTCATTAAACATATGTAATTAGTTATCCCCAAGCTATGCAAACGTTTATGAATTCCCTCCTTATGTTGTCTAGTGTCCATCATAAATTTTATTTTGGGGGAGGTAGTTCTTTTGACTTATACTTCTAACTCTTGAATGAAGATTTTTATCTATAAAATCCAATGTAAGCATCTCTGTCAGAAAACCAAGGGGATATTAAAAAAGAAACAACAAAAACAGAAAATACACACAACAGCACCACAGTGCTTTTTCTTTTCAAATAACATCTCTCTGCTCTAATTTGTGCAAGTTCTTTGGCCAGATCCTTTTAATTACAGTAGTCTCATTTAAATGGAAGTGTGGCTGGAAACTCAGCTGTGCAGAGTGCTGCTGTGAACAAAACTTCCATCTGCCCTGTGCTGTCCATGGGGAATGTGTCACCCAGTTCTATGGGCCATGCAGGTAAGGGCTGTCAGCAGCAGCCAAGCCAGTAAAATCTAGAAAAATAAAGGGGATTAATTCCTCCCCTCTTCAGGCAAGAATCAGTTTCCTCCTCAAAATCCGTCCCAGAAGGGTGAAACATGAATGCCATCAGTTTGTGGTTCATTGCCATTTAGAGCCAGATTTATATATTCAATGCTACTTGAGTTTTGGTTTGGAGTACAATCTCTGTAAAGTACCCTCAGCCCGTGAAGGAATGTGACAGATCCTTGTCTTACCTTGGTTTGAAATGTACAGAAGACATGAGTCAGGAACGGGTGCTCCCAAGCTAAAGAGAGGACTCTCTTCTCCACCATCGTACATTCAACATCATCATCCATAAGGACCACATCCTTCTTCAGGGCTTTCACAGCAAAATACTGGTCTGTGTTCTTCAGCTCAGCAAGGAACACCTAGAATGGAAATGGCTGCTCAGAAAAACCAACGCTCTTCTCTCTGAGCTGGCAACAACAGCCATGGAAGCTGAGCAAGATGGGCTGAAACGCAGCACCAAACAGAAAATTTTGCTTGGGAAAATGGCTCTGAGGAATTCGTAAGTGTAGACCTTAAGAAGTTGCTATTTAAGTTCTGATTCTGTCATGAAGACTTTGAATTTGTTCCCCAAATCCAAAACAATTTTACGAGGCTGAACTCTGAGGAAAGATGAGTAACTGGTAATTACAAAAACATGAGCTACACGCTTATATGGACAGGACATGTCAGAGAGCTGAGCACTTCTGACAACAGAAACCAACATTATGCAAATGCTCATGAGACACATTTCCTGTTTTCTGACTTAAAGTAACAAATCACAGAATACTGTTTTGTCAGCATATGAAATGGAAATGTCATCAGATCCTCAATAGGTATAAACTGATGTCCACCAGTAGAAGTTAGATTGATGACATCTCTTTCCTCCCTGTCAGCAGGACGTGTAAGCAGACAGCCCAGGTCCCCTGTGCTCCTACAGGACTCCTCTGAGAAAAGTAAAACACATTGCAAAGGAGTTTAGGACCTCTGTTGTTATGGGTAGGGAAACTCAGATGTAGAGCAGCAGAAAATTGATTTCTAGAGACCATCAAGCAAAGCAGCCTCTGCTGGAAAGCAGTGCAGTTGTGATCTTCGTGTTAACAGACTGTCAACACTGTTTCCCATAGTAATTTTACTATTTTTTATTCCCATGAATAAATACCTATGTTTCATCAAAGAGCCCTTTGAAGTTCACTACCAGACACTTTGCTGAATTAGCTCAGATGTGTTTTGACCCTGACAAAGGTTTTATTTACCCTTCTGGCTACTGTTCTATTTCACTCTGTAGCACTGTACAGAGCCTAGAGCCTCCTTCTGCCTCTACAGTGAATGACCAGAAATGCTAACAGTGTTGATGCTGCAGGGACCCTTTCAGCTCTCGGTTCTGTGCAGGACATTGCTTTTCCAAGGAAATCAGAAAGCACAGTATAAGTGTGACTTATGCTGTGACTCCCAAAACACAGGTAGGTGATGTTAGAGTTGATGCAGGGGGAGATTCCTCGTGGCTGTGGCCCTCAGTCTCCCCAGGTCCACGCAGAAGTGGAGAAGTCTTCCATGCATGGAGATATGCATATCTTGTTCTCTTTGTGGACCAATGAATGTCACTCCAGATAAATGACAGCACCAGGATTGACACCTACATGGGAAACTCTTGGGAGAAGTTTGCTGCAGAAGGTCACAAACTAGCCCTACCCCTCCATGCCCACATAATGCACGGCAGAGTAATGCAGATTCTTGACTTCTCAACATGACAGTCCCCTAAGTAACCCTCATCTGGTGAGACCTGTTTTGAGCAGGAGTTGGATGATCTCTGAAAAACCCTTCCTTTGATTATGAATACTGTTATGACATCTATATTGAGATCAGGTTAGTCCAGGCTGTACAGTTTGAAGTTTTGTGGCTTAGTTTTAACTCACATGTCGCAGCTCTGCTTCACATACAGAGTGCAGACATGCCAAGTGCTTTCATGTACGCAAAGTCAACACAACAGCTATTTCCTCAGTTTAAGATTTGGTTGCAGCAATTGCTCTAGCTCACTTAGCAAAAAGCAGGTTTTCTTTCAGGCAGTTTCCACCTTGGAAAGGTTTGAGATCTAAGTAATGTGATACATAATTATATTCATTCTCCCTACTGGCTGCAAAAACACATGGGAGAGGTCCTCTGAAATTACTTCATGCAGTTGTAAGTGAATAACATGAGTCCACTTCCAGGAGACATCTGCATGAAGGAGGAACAATTGACCATTCATCAAGATTAATGAATCTACTGAAAACAGGTGGCCCTTGTTTCAAAAGCACAAATTCTTGGCTGTTGTAAAATTTACTTTATGTTTCAGCACAGATCAGAGATGGGAAAAAGCAGTTAGCATTCCCAGCTGGACTTGCTGCCCTGGAGAATGGAGGTGATCCACACTCACCTTTACATCTAAAGATTCTGCCTCCTGCCAAGATGGCTAAGCCAACCTGGTGGGCACAGCTGAATGAAGAGGAACAGCGAAGAGATCTCAACCTCTTAATGCTTACCTTACCAAAGCTGCCCTTTCCCAACATCTTGTGCAGGACAAAATCTTCAATGGTTAGTTTTAGTTGCACTTGGTCCTCTTGCTGCTCCAGGAGCTGTTTTCCTCCCAGGTCTGTCTCTATTAGAGACTCTCCCTTCGTTGTGCCCTCCACTGGAGTCTCCCAGGAGATGCCCTGTGGCTCTGAAACACACATCAAAGCATTCAAATAAATCCTGGGAAGTAAGGAGAAAATCCCCAGAACTTTTATGAGGTATTTTGAATAGTTCTAGAAAGGTCTTTTCAGGTATATGGAAATGTGGTGGACAGATCAAGTGAGTAGATTGTCTCTGCTTGCATATGGCTTTTGCTTCAGAAGAAATTTTGCTCCAGCATAACTCCATCTTCTTCAATGGCATTATTCCCACTTTATGAAGTCCTTCATCTGCCCTGCTTCATGATCTCAAAACAGGACCAAATCTTTCATTTCTGGCAGCCTTTGTTCATCATTCCTTCTTGCTGGTTGCTGTTATGATAGGATCCCATTTCTTCTGAGACCTCTTCAAGACCCTTGGCAAAACTAATGTGTGAAACAAGTGGGACAGAATCTTCATACTGGGTCCATGCTCTGGTTATGGAGCCTTAATGAAATATTCCAGCTGTCCTGGAGAAGAATTATTAACAGTTTCTTCAATACTTCATTTCCTTGGATGTTTGTGAAATTCGTGTCCCTTACTGGATTTATCCCACTCACTCAAATGCATGTACTTGCTGTACTTGCTGTGCTGTCCTAAATTGCTGAACAAGAACACTAATCTTCAGATAGACTCACACGTTAACCAGATGTGAATAATCTGGGCTTTACTAGTTCACACTGATTCATTCAGTTCTACTTGTAGACCACAGAAAATGAACATAGATGAGGGCACCATTAATTTTTCTCTAAGGGGCCAAATGGAATAGAAGGTACCAAAATCTCAGGTTGGATATTAGGAAAAATCCCTTCTCTGAAGGAGTGGCCTAGTGCTGGAATGGGTTGCCCAGGAAGGTGGCTGAGTCACTGTCCCTGGAGATGATGTTCAAGATCATCTTGAACAAAATGTTCAAGAAACATTTGAATGCTGTACTAAGGGATGTGGTTTAGTGGGAAAATTGGTGGTAGGTGGACGGCTGGACTAGATGATCTTGGAGGTGTTTTTCAACCTTGGTAATTCTATGATCCTATGAAAATCAGCTTCTGAGTCTTGATAGGCTTGTGCTGTATGGTATAAAACCTGGAGCACTGGTGTAACATGGCTCTGCTTTAACAAGAGCCATCTGGGATTTTGCTCTCGGGTCAGTTTCTGAGTAGTTTCAGGATATTAGCTCCACACGTGGAAGTATTTTTTTTTGCACTGAGAAAGAGATTGATGGTGGGGCCACCTCTGGTTAGATTTAGAGCTAAGGATCTACTGTTCCAGTCCTTACTTGGTTTAAGTATCAATTCAGTTGTACCTCTCTTCTTTTCCCTCCCCTTTCTGGTTGATGTATTTTAAAGCTTGTGGGAGTCTGCAAAAAAGTTACAGTTTCAGAACACTGCCCCACAAACCATGAAGCTGGAGCACTTCTGAAATGAACTTCTGTATGGGACACACAGATTAATGAAAATTTGTGATTCTAAAATCCAGACTTTGCTGATCTGAGCACAAAGCAGACAAATAAGGAGTCTTTCCAGGACTTTAATTTTCCTTCCAGGTCACTGAGCCCTCAGTAGCTTTGTCCAAGGTCCGCTTATCAATGCTTGTCCCCAATTACTCATTTACAGAGATTTAGGAAAAATCTCTGCTCCTGTAGCACATAGGGCAGCAAAAACTTAACCATTTTGGGGTGAATGAAGTGGAGATCTGTCAGTGGTTTTCAGAGGGATTAGATATCAACTCCTACCTAAAAATCTGAGATCAGAAAGAGAATTGGTCATAACAATCAAAGGAACTCTGAACCTCCTGTTTCAAGGTTGGTTTCTCTTTAAATATTCCATATATTATGGTTTATGAGTCCCAGGAGGAGAATAAACACATTATTGCTGGTGGAGGTATGAGGTGTGCTGAAGTACTGGGTCACAATGAGAGTTTAGGGACTAGATGGATGAGTAGCGACTGGCATGTCACTAAAGGCTGGAGAAGTCTTGGTGGAAGTGCATATTAACAGAGAGGAAAGGACTCTTTGAGGTCTAGGGTCTCTGCTTAGCCTGAGTGATGTGGCTGGGAGGATTTAGAGATGAGATGAGAAAATAGATGTCTTGCTCTAAGTGGGAAAGATACATAAAAGATTCATTGGCTAATAAATTTTCTGTCCTTGCCACCTCCACTTAACTATGTAAAAAGATTAATAAAGGCTGCTATACTGTACCACTAGGGTAAATTACCTTTTTTTCCTGTTGTAGATGCTGGCACTGCCTGAAGAGGTGTCACCTCCCTCGCCAGAACCGGGAACCCAATTTCGAGAGGTCCATCCCTGGATATCTGTTCAGTATCACGCTGACAGCGAGCCTGGATGACAGAAAACAGCAAATGACTTTTGAGCCAAATGTTATGTTCTGAGTTCCTGTACAGTTTCCTCTTGAATGTGACTGTCATAGAAGCCAAGATCTTGAAGAGGTCTTTGCTTATGTAAAGAGCATCTCTGTACCCATTGTTTAGGGGTTTGATGACCACAAGCTTCACCAAAGCTTCTTATGTGTGTGGATGTTAGCAGGTGTTTGTAAAGCTAATATAAAGATACCTTATTCTGCAGAATGGTCTGTGACCCTAACTAACCACACAAAGGCCTTTTAACATCTTCCTTCCTAGTAATTCTTTATGAAGGGGAACCTGGCAAAACACTGGAGGCTGGGATGTAGCTTATCCCTGTACATTGACTGACTGTCACTTTGAGAAACTCCTTGAACTGGGATGCTGTAGAGGATAAGAGTTTGCCTGGATTCAGAAGTGATGAAACAGAAGCAGGAAATGGAAAAGCACTGAAGGTTATTTAAATGCTAAAACTCCACCTGTGCCTCAAGAAGATTCCCATGATCTAAACTTCTGGAAATAAGGGGTATTTTAGGGAAAGTACATAGAGTTTGCATTCTTCACCTCTCAGTGGTGACTCAAAGGTACAGGGCAAGGAGCTGCAGAGAGCCAGCAGATAGAAAATAGAGAAGCAAAAGCAGGAAAAAAACCCTAGCTGGAAGTTTGGCAACTCTATTTATTGCACAAAGATGAGGATTTAGAATTAAATCTGGTACATACACTCCCAGGAAGTTACAAATGGAAAAACATCAACTGTGTGTATAAAGTTGTTGCCTTGGGATATCTGAGGAACCAAAATATGGGTGGGGTACCTATAAACTTTATCCCTGTTTGAAGATACTCAAGAGCTAAGAGGCACTCCAAGAATCCTGATTTAGAGTGTAAATTTAGATGAGATGTTAGAAAGAAATTCTTTACAGTGAAGATGGTGAGAAACTGGAACTTGTTTTCCAGAGAAACAGTGGATGCTCCATCTCTGGAAGTTTAAGGCTGGGTTGGATGGGGCTTTGGACAATGTTCTCTACTGGAAGGTGTCCCTGCCCATGGCAGGCCTGTTGGAACTACATGACCTTTAAGTTCCCTTCCAACCCAAACCATTCTATGAATTATTCTATGAATTCTGAGTGGCTTTCTCTTCCATTAATATTGGAGGTAGCCACCTGAAGTCATGAAAACTTGTTACATACAGTGTTCCCTTTAATGCCTTTAATTCTTGCACTGTGCTAAATGTTGGGCAATTGATTTTCCTTTCTCCACATCATATGATTCTATGATCTCCACGGCTTACTTACCTGCTGAGTGCTGCCTATCAATGCCAGAGCTTCTGCCATTAGTTTCTGGTTAACTCCACAAAGGTTTGCTACTTTTGTCTGGCACTTATGATGGACATTCATGCAGCATGCTGAAAGAAAGAACAAAGGTGTCAGGACAACAGAGGACTGCTGAGCTGTAAAGGGTTCAGCATCAGGCTGGGTAGGAACATGCACTGCCGTTGGCCAAGAGCAGAGACCAACCACATGAAGAGAAGTAGGCACTGAATTGTTCTTTTGCACTTCTGAGAACTGACTCTTCAGCCTCGTGGACCACAGGTCTTTCTACAGAACCTCCTCCAAGGATGGTCCTCTTGTCTGCTCCTTCATCACCCCGATATCATCTCAAACATATCTCAGAGAAACGAGATTTGGCTGTTTAGATTGAAGACAACAGCCTGTTTCCGTGTTCAGCTCAGGAACTCACCATCACACTTCAGTCCTTGCCGTGCAAGGCCCCAAAGCAGCGTGCCACAGTGATCACAAAACGTTGGGCTCTTGTAGTTGTAGACTTTGAAGCGGTGAGGCATGTCAATCTTGAACCTCTCCTTGTGAAACTGCAACAGAAAAGCCATGTTGGTGAATCACTTCTGTTCACCTCAGTTCTACGTGAAAAGCCAACAGTCCTCAAATTTGTACCACAGAATGTGGGAAATTTACTGTCACTTTATTCTTGACTGGGTAATTGAATCCCTGGTTTTGATTTATCCAATCAGATAGCTGTTTGCACCTCAGCTACTCACCCTGATGCCCCTAATGCTCAATGGAAAAACAAGAGTACTTCCCAAAATGATTAATCTCATCCTGAAACAGATGTCTGCATTTGTTTTTATTAATCACCCTCTGGAAAAGCCTATTTTTTTTTCTTTTTGTATATAGAGAGTTAAAGTAGATGACAAAGCTAGATGTGATTACCTACACTAGAGACATGAGAAGACAGGTGAGAAGATTCTCATCTCTAAAGACTGTAGAAAGAGAACAAGTATTAGGAACTGGAGAAAAACAAGAGCTGCAGAACACAGCTAGGAGAAAGAAGGCAATGGTCCTATCAAGAGTTTAAGTTCTGCTTTTGCCCACCAAAAAGAAGCTTTATTACAAACTGATATAAGAAAAAATAAATTAATAATGGGGATGCTAGATCTTTCTCTAGATGGTTTTGAAATCTCATATGACACATACTGGGATATTAAAGTACTGCTCTAAAAATTCAGTGTGATATCCTGCCTAACACAGGATAGTGAAGAACTTCCTCTAAGGAATTCTCCATCTCGTGCCCTGAGCTATACTTTATAGATAAGAAAAATGTCAGGCTTGATTCAACGACTGCTTATTCAGTGGCTGCATTTCAGTAAATCACAAGTAGGAGTTAACAGAACCACAGAGCATTCAAAAACAAAAGGATGCAGATCAGATCACATCACTTGTAGCTCAGTCACATACTTTGCTTCAGCTGAAGCTCTTATACAGATGTGTAAGAGAGATCTAAATGACACTGGTTTTAAAAGCAACCAGGTAGTAATACATACCATTGTTTCTCTGCTATTTACTGCTGATCCTGTACACTTGGCTATTACTTTATCAATGCACTTCTTATGAATGGCAGCATTACATTCTGAAAGAACAAGTGTATTGTGGCATTAATGCAAAAATCTCTTAAGAAAGGATTGAGTAAATGATGGTATCACCAAAAAAAAAGTTCTTACGTCTGCATTGGTAGCCTTGTTTATTCAGACCCCTGAAATAAAGAGAGAAATGGTTAATTCTGAGTTTTCTGAAAGCTTCCACATAAGAAAGGAGAGTAACACTTATGAAAGAAATAGAATAAAACAGTCTTGTTTTTTATCAGTCTTCAGAGTTTCTCTAATCTAAATATCTTCATTCACTCTAAGTGCTGGCAACTGTGGTTTTCACACCCTTTCCAGTACACATTCACATACTGAATTTTGCAACATCTAAATAGCAAAGTAAGCTGATTACAGATGCCTGTACATTAGGTCAAAACAAAAAATATTTATAAAAAATACACTAAAAAATAAAGGGAATTTTCATAGTTGGAATTACAACTCTGAACCACATCCTGGAAATGATACAGTAATTCCTGCATTTATGATGCTAACGTTGAGGTCCTGCTGCCCTTACTGACAATAAGAGCACAGATATTCAACAAAGGAGCAGAGCTGCTCCTTCATGTTAAAAGGGGAAAATGCGTGGATCTATTTTCATTTACCACACGAATTCGTGACAGACAGAGCAGAATGTAGGTTGTGGAAAGAAAGTGGCTGTGAACTCATGGCACTTCACATTATGGATTTTGGCCTGTTTGATGGCTCCCCTGCGCTGATGCAAGGAGAAAAAGGCTTCATTCTCACAGTCAGCTAGGTCCTTTGCATCTAGGGAAAGAAAACAGAAGATTTGTTAAGATATAATGCCCAGGGCAGGCACTTTGAGAAAATACAGCTGATAAAAATACTAAATGTCTGAAACTGATGATTCACTCATGGGAATTAATATTTTTAAGAAATACTTCTTTCTGAAACCTACACAAGGCTTGTTTGGATGTTTTTTGTCTACCATTCCTATAGGAACACTGAAGTTACTTCCAACGTGGGATTTTAAACTCCTTTGATTATTCATAATGCTATTTTGAAACACAGACCAGAAATTTTCCAAGAAAAGGTAATTATCAGTTAAATATTACATTCTAGCTTTGTACAGCACCAAAGAACAATAAAAAAGATGGACTTATCTGTGTACAATATGTATCACCTATAAATGCACACAAATACACACGTATACATATGTAGGCAGATATGTGAGTACTTAACAGAGTCTTCAACGTGGGCATGTACACAGGTTGGATATTATGAAAAATTTCTCCTGAGGAAGAGTGGTGAGGCATTGGCACAGGCTGCCCAGGGAGGTGGTAGAGACGCTGTCCCTGGAGATGTTCAGGAAATATGGAGATGTGGCACTGAGGGATGTAGTTAGTGGGCATGTTGGGATGGGTTGACGGTTGCACTAAATGCTCTTAGAGATCTCTTCCAACCTTAATGATTCTATGAGATCTGGGAGTAAGCATATGTATGTTCCTAGGATACTTTTTCTAAATTATTTTTCCTTACCAACAGTTGTTTTACTGTTTCCCATGTTCCCATGTTTTAATCGCAGTTCATGTTTAAACTTCTCAAAGCAAAATAAGCCAAAATAAGCTTCTCAAAGCAAAATAAGCCTCTGGTTGTGCATGCGTATACACACGTGCACTTATGCACATGCCCATATCTACAAATCTAGATATACACACAATACTTCGATTTCAATTTCTTTCTTCATTTAATTGTGTACTGCACAGTAAGTTACTTAGATATTCTGTGGAAACTGGCCCCCTGCCCAATCTGGTGGTTATCCTGCTCTTTTTAATTACAAACACAACTTGTGTTTTCTAAGCTTTATAGTATGTTCCTGGAAATGGAATGTCCTTCCGTATATCTATAGCCCACAGTTTCATCTCACATCTGTGAAAGACAGCAAGAACTTTGCCATCAAAGACAGGAGAACATGACTGACCATTTTGGTTGCAACCCATTTCCTTCAACAAAACAAAACACGTTTTGCACTGAACTCAGCAGGTGGGACTCAGTCCTCAGTGAAGATATCTAAACAAACGTGTGTCATTCTGTGCAGGATGACTAAGCCACTTCTACATGTCTGTGGAGATCTAGGTGGTGCAGACAATGGAGCCTAGTGAATGAATGACTCAGCTCACTGTACAGCAGGCACGTGCATCTGATCATATGAATCACTCTCTTGGTTCCTGTTTTGCCTTGATTGCTCATGATTTTAGGCATAGAACTTACATGTCTATTTAGGTGTTTTCAACTGTAAGTTGTACCCTATCCTTTATGACTGCACACCACAGTACACACTTTATGCATCTGTACATCTACTATGATTTCAAAGGGAACCAGCTCCTTATGTATCTGTTCTTACTTTGTATAATGAGAAAACATACAATTTCAGTGGTAAAACAGCCAGAAATTTGCCTTGCAAATCACAGAGGAATAATATTCCTCCCCAACGTACAGGAATTACATTTCTGAAGTGTTCATTTCAAAACCCAGTGATAGTTCCTATGAATAAATCAGTAATAAAGCCATCATTGCTTACAGTGAATACACCATGTCTGCTCTGCATAACCAGAAATCACATCTATCAATTAACAAACAAAATCACTTGCCACTGATTTCCAGAAAGTATCTTGCATTCATCAGCATTCGTCCCTGAGGTTTCAGTTCTAGCTGGTTGTGATAAGTGAAAAACAAGAAAAAAAGACAAGTGTGATCATTATAGAGCTATTCAAAGAAGCATCTAATTACTTCATATGACTCCAGCTACCTCTAATTCCCAGGGCAATTAATGAATGGATGCTAATTGCTTGGTTGCTCATGCTGGTGTGGGAGAATACAGAGGTAGCAACAATTGTAGAGGGACAACGTTGGATCACCTCTTATCAAAACTGTATGATAATACCAATAAATGTGACTAAAACACAGAAATAACAGGCAAGTTTTAAGACAGTAGATCAGGACCAGCACATCTATAGAGACAACTTTGTTATTCCCCGTGGATTATGCAAGGGGAAAGTGAGAGAACCTCTGAAAACCCAGAATCATCAGACAGGTACTTAAAAAAATGCTGAAATCTTTAGAAACTTGGGTCTACAATTCCAACATTCATTACAGTCAGTATGAGTGATGCTACAGACTTTCTCAGGTGTTTTGGGGTCTTCCTATCGAGTCTAGAAATTCCCATCTATTCCAATCTTCATGCATATTTGCCTGTTTTAAATCTGGATCCACCCTTTTGGAAAGCTTTCAAAGATTTCTTCAGCCTGAGAACCACAACAGTGTCTTCCTGACATAACTGGGTTACTTCTTCTCCTTACAGATGAAGCAGTGCCATTGCACAGAAAAGTAAGAAAGGTGTTATTTTCTCCCCACTCTTCTTCAGCAAGCTACAGCCTTTCAGATCTGTGAATCCTTGGGTTGGAGTGATCCTGAGCAGGACACTTCAGTTTTCTGTTTCAGTCCTAAGTATCTTAATTCTTTCCAAGATATGTGTTAAAAGTGCAATTCTCTATCAAATCTTGCCCTTAAGTCTTTTAAGTAGCCAAGGCATTTTTGACATTTCTGCTGTCTGTTTAACCTAAGCAGCTTAGCTTGAGAACGAGCAGGAGAAACAAAGCAAAAAACAATTCCAGGAAATCAGTTTACCTCCAAATGTCTTCCTATTTTATTGTTATTCATGACATGACAACAGGATAATACACTAAAGACTTTTATCAACAGCTTTCTCGCTTGGACTGTCAGGGCATACAACCTTACATTTAGCATCCTTATGAAGACTGTTACTTCCAATTTACTCCACTATAACTCCAGTGATTTTGAAGGAGTTCCTCTGCCATAATTCTGAACTCAGGCAGCTGTGAATCAGTTCCTCGATATTAGATTAAATTTTTAAAGCTGTTTCCCCAGAGCACATAGAATAATTCACATTTAGCCACTCAATTACCAATTTTCCCCAGTGAGTTAGCTAAGTGAAAAGTAATATGTGGGCACAGCTCACGTGAAACAGAATCCTTGCTAAGAGAGAGCACATGTTTCAATACAACAGCAGCAGACAATATAAATGTGCTGTGCTCTTTTCTCTGATATGCACGGAAGTTTTTCTTTCAAGTCAAATGCAAGCAGGCTCAAAACATTATTCCTTGGATGGTAGCTATCTCCTTCTGCCCTGTTGTTGACAGTCTGACATATAGACACACGGCATTCCCCCCACCCCACAGCAGCTCCCCATCACACGCTGCAAGAGGAGATAACAGTGCTCACCCATATTTCTGTCTTCCCATTGCTCTTTTTGCACCTCTCTGCCAGCACCTTGAGTTCCACTGTGGTCTCTGAAACCATTTCGGCACTTTTATCCTTGACGACGATGTGCATCACCCTGCCATTGTTGATGTGGGCATCAAAAGTGCTGTTCCAGGGTGGGTACATGGTGGGTTTCTTCTGCACGTACACTTGGCCATTTTCTGTCAACAAGAAGTGGTTTGGATTGAGTGGGCTTGCTCTCATTCGCACTAAGGCCACTATTCTACAGTCCCTAAGACACATTTGTTTTATTTACCCATTTCAAGGTCTTTCTCCTGGCAGGAAGGGTGATGGATTATGTTAGAGCATCTTAGGAAATTACTGTGTGAAGTGAAACCTGGGAAGGGTTTCATCTCACTTAAGGTGTTTACAATGTATATGTTTATATCTGTTTTTTCTGAATATTGGCTGCCTTCAGAGCCAGTGAAACGAATTTAGTCACTATAAATCAATGGAGTTAGAGTGTATTCATTTTCCCAAATACAAGCATCTGCCTTAGAGAAAAACAGTTTCTGTTTTTGAGTGCATTAACTCCACTGAGTAGATACCAAATGTAGACTCCATATGTAGATTTCCACATCTAATCAGACAAATCCCGTGATACAATCAAATACCCACATCTAATCAGATGAATCCCACCACCAACAATCAGCTACATGTATCATCTGTCCCACGGCAATGCAAAATGAAAAACGTTTACCAAAGCTGGATGTGCTTTGTGATTAGGTTCAGCTGTAATGCACAGACACTCAAATGCTACACCTCAGTTACCTGAGAGCAGTTAACAATAAATGCTCTTACAGGCCTTTTTCAACCTTAATGATTCTGTGATTCTATTCCATGTATTCAGCTCTGCATATAGGCATGTCCTGCCCTCTCTGTTATGTGGCAATCATTTGGTGTGAGTTTCATTGGCCACGTAGAAGAGAACGTGGCTCAGTAGCAGGGTTGTTTGTATGTCTTACAAGCTTTGGAGCTGATACACTTCTGCTCCCTGGGTATGACACTTCTGCAAAAAATCTGCATATCAGAGTATCAAAATACAAATGTTTTGAATTTCATCACTGTTGAGCCACAGATCTGCTGTGAAGTCAGAGAACTGGAGAGTAAAAAGTGAGCAAAAAAAACCCAACAAAGCAGGGAGGCAGCTATTTCAGATATTCTCTGCTCTATTCTCATTTGTACTGTGAGACAACCCTCGTTGTCCTTTGCTTTTTTGAGCCTAATGGATCAACTCCTCAGGATGGCCACGTTGAGAGAATTTCTGGCATTTAGCACCGGACTTATATCACTGTATATTAGACACGTACCTCTAAGCAAACTGAACTGCCCCCAGAGTCAGCAGATAGCACTGGGAGTTTCCAAGGTGTGATTCACCAGATCCATTCTAGCTGTATTCCTTAAGAAGAGATGAATCCCACCACCAAAATCCCTGTTTGCTCCCCTGGGCTACAATGCAAGGGTGGCCAGCTTGCTCCAGGAAGGCTGAAGTAGGAGAGACGTATCCCACCATGGCCTCACCTTGGCTTAGTCACCTTAAGATGACTTTATACATCAACATGACTGGAGGAGGCTCTGGGCAATCTGATTTAGTATTTGATCTAGCAGCTGGCAACCATGCCTGTGGCAGGGTGTTGGAACTTGATGATCCTTTAGGCTCCTCCCAACACAAGCCATACTATGATTCTATGATTCAGACACTCTCTACCAGCAGCAAATTAAGAGCAACACCACCTAGGGGTGATACTGAGATGAATTAATCCTGGGAAGTTCCTGTTGCTATCGCTGACGTGATGAATAGTGGCACTGAGTGACATGGTTTAGTGGGCATCCTGGTGATGGGTCAACGTTTGGACTAGATGATTTTAGTGGTCTTTTCCAACCTTAACAATTCTATTAGGATTAGCAATCAAATCCTCTGACTGCACCAGAGTGCTCTGAGCAGCTGCCATAAAATTGCAATTACACCTCAGCTGACAGAAATCTTTTAATAGGATGATGTCATTGTTCCTGTATTTCATCCTCATGAATGAAAGAAAGTTCTTCCAAATACTTTTTTTTTTTCATTTCTCATTGGTAGCATATTATTATTATTTTCATTACTACCACTATTATTAAGTGTTCTCCACAGCTCAGAAATTATATCCGTTAGTTTGCATATTTTTTTTCATTAGATGCCAGAAAACACTTTCAGCTCTAAGACAAATAAATATAGGTCTGTTCTGCCCAAATTGACTTTTTTCACTTTTGAACTGGCAGAGGCTTCAGTTTGAGTTATGACTCTTTCAAAGGTCTCATTAAAGCAGACAGCCAAACCAAGCACAGAGCTGAAATAGACCATATTTTCAGTGAAAAGCGAGATTTTAGCGATATTCTATCATGCAGCATTTTCTTTCCTTCTAAATTTACCAGACACATCTTCCAAAATCATTGAAAGTGTAATTTCAACAAAGCCAGTGTTCAATGTTTTAAATGCTGACTTTTTTAAAACAGTGAGATACTGAATCGTTTGAAAAGTCTAAACTTTATTTTTTAAACTACTTCAACACTCCCTGGAGGCTTGAGATATAGAGTTTTTCAAATAATAAAAAGGGATTTCTGAGTTGATTTAACTTTTAAAAGAATCACAGAAGTCAAGTCAGGAATGTATCAGATCTAAGGTAAATAACAGCCAGCATAAGAAATTCCCTAACACTGAAGGTGTTGACCTCCATGGCTGTTGAAAAGCAGAAGTAAAGAACTTCTCATCCTCTCACTAAGGCTATGCATAAGACTAAGACATGCATAAGACATATAAGAAGTCTTTTCCCAAAAAGGACATTCCAGCACTGCTCAATTATGAAAAGTGTGTAACAATCTGTTACAGAAATAAATAGCTGAAGATAAGGTTTCAGCTTCAAACATTTCACAGAATACAGCAATTACACAGAGACGTGAACTCCCTCTGCAAAGCCTGGGGATGTTTGAGAGCTTTTATTTAACGGTGGAAGTTGTTGGATCTGTCAGTTCCTCAGAAAATGTGATAAACAAAGACAGCTCTTCCAGGATATTTCTAGGACACCCAGATTTTATCTGTCTGAAGTCCCAACTGACAAAACAACAACAGCTGCTTGTATAAAAGTGAAACTGAGTACAGCACAGCTCATCAGCTGTGTCACATGCTGGGACTCGCAACTCAGTTGATAAAAATCTCACACTGAAGACAAAGACTTTGTTAAGCACCATCTTAAAATCAGATTTTCTTGCACACGGTGCTGAGTCCAACCTTGCCTCATGTTTAGCCACAAAAAGCTCTTTATAAACCCTTATAAATATCTACCACGTGCTTCCCACACACCAGTAATAGCACAGTAAGACACACATTTTCTACAAAAGCTCACGTGCACGTTTAACACCTCCCCACTTACCTGACTCCACGGCTTCTTTAACCATCACAGCACAGTAAGGGTTAATCACCTCCCCTTGTGATGGCAGGTAAGGGCCACTGTCATAGTTGGATAAACCAATACGCAGAAAGGGAGACATGACAAGTCCTGTGTCAAACAAAAGACAAGGCAATATTTGGGAAGAGTCTAAAAATTCCCTTGGTTTTAAACCAGCCTCTTATCTTCACCAGTCAGGAGTAGACCAGCCGTTAGTTATCCACCCAGCTGAAGCTCTCTGACTTCCTCCACTGTCCCACGAGATGATGGACTGACCGAGTGCTGCTGAATGTGTGCAGTGTAATGTAATGTAATGTAGCCGTCAGCTTAATTACGGAGCTGAACTCATCGCAAGCCTGGAAAGACCCACGATAGCAGCTCTGAGGACCAGCGACTCGACATCAGCTGTCAGAAATGAGAACAATACACAGAAGCCAAATCAGGGCTTTCTTGGCTGGGACAACTTTTGTTGTAATTTACGTTGAGTCACGCGTTCACTAAGCTGTAAGCTATGTGAACAGAAAGGGTTTGGGGAATATAAGGCTGTTGGAAGCCTGGAAGTTGAACATGAAACCGTGAAATAACTGCATACTATTTATATACAGCATGGAAATAATCTTAGGCTTCCAACTGACTGGGTGCTGACCCATATTCATCAGTGAAACTATAAAGAGAAAATTCAGCTTGTATGAACCATACTGTGTAGAGGGTGGAGCCAAAAAAAGGATCTCAGGATTTAGGCAGCTGAAAACAGAACCATAAAAAACCAAGATGCCAGGAAACACAGAGCCTTTGAGTTTGTCTTCTCTGCGGGCCCTTTGAGAGCTTCAACTGAGAAAACTGAGTTAATCCAGCAATTACTAACTGCTGTAGATGGTTGCTCATCTTTGTGCCATCTGGACCCGTGGACTGGCATTTACCACCCAACTTTTGTGCAAACTTCTAAGCACATTATTCTTGGCTTCCCTTCCAGACAATGGAGTGCAAGAGACACTTTGAACTTCACTGTAGACTTCTGTGCTTTGGACCACCGAAGTTAAATAAACTACCAGCAGCTGTTACCTGCCAAATACTTTGTTCAACTACAACAGTAAAAAAAATGAACAATATGTGGGGTGGGATGCAGCCCAAACCTCTTCTGCCTCTTACATATGAAATGCTCCATCCCAATGATAACATATCAGACAACCAGCATTCATTGCTGGGAATGACATTTTCTTACCTGTAAATGGTATTTCCTGATATACTAATTCAGTCTTTGTTTAGAGAGGCTTCTCTGGTCATCACAGTTGTTGACAACATGGAAAAGATTTTCTTGGATGTAGTTCCTCTAGCTTGGCTGACTTTAAATCTTTGACTCTCTGTTCAGGGAGACAGGAGACAGGACCATCAAGGAGAGAGGAAAACTTGAGAAAACAAGATGCAGTCTTTTCCTTGAGTGCCTTCTCTCTTACCCAGCAGCATGGAGTGATGAGTTTCCATCAGTGCCAGTGCAAAAGTCCAGGGCAACAGTGAAATTCAGAACAACTTCCTAGTCATAGATATCTCTGTTCATTGAAAGGCGTGTTGGACTGAATGACCAGGTTCCTTCCAACTCTGACGATTCTATGATTCTATGAACTTTGTGTTAGTGCTTGGCCAAGTCTCAGCAGCTTTTGGTTCCACTTGCCTCCTGGATATGATGAGATCTTCTCCTTTTTCCTGTTTTGTGAAATGAAGACAAACAGCTACAGTTAGCACTGGGACTGAAGCACCAACTATCCTGTCCTGAATAATCACAAGTGTTGAGCACTCTGGCTGCCACACTTTCTGAGACTTTTGCAAACAGGTGCCTGTGCAGCAAACTGCAGTTATTCTCTGATGGCAGTTTGAGAAGAGGAGGCTTTGTTGGCGCTTCCCTAATTTTTTTTACCTGACATAAGAACAATCATGCACTGACAATATATGAAGACTCTCCTTCCCATGTGATCTCTCTGAAGAGTTTTGCAGACACATGTTATCCAAGTGCCTCATGAACTTTCTCTGGAAGCCACTTGCATTTAGATATTCAAGTACAGGTAGCTCTGTGAGGAGATGTCATGGTTTTATGATTTTTGGTTATCAGTATTCCACATCATAACATTTGTGACACTGCACAGTAGTGCAATGAATGGACTATGAGTAGTACATGGCATAAAGGCCGAAATTTCACAGAATCACAGAGTTGTAGGGGCTGGAAGGGACCTCCAGTGATCGAGTCCAATCCCCATGCAAAGCAGGCCCCTACATCAGGCTGCACAGGTAGGTTCCAGGTGGGTCTTGAATATCACGAGAAGGAGAATCCATAATCTCCCTGGGCAGCCAGTTCCAGTGCTCTGTCACCCTTACTGTGAAGAAGTTCCTTTGCATATTGCTCCAGAACTTCCCATGCTCCACTTTATGGCCATTTTCCCTTGCCCTGACACACAGGCCACTGAAAAGAGGTTGGCCTGTCCCTTAGTCTTCCACACTTAAGATAATCATCTCAATTACACTTAAGATACTTAAGAACATCAATAAGATCCTCTCTCAGTCTTCTTTCCTCGAGGCTGAACAGACTGAGGTCACACAGCCTTTCCTCATAGGGGAGATGCTCCGGGCCCTTTATCATCTTTGTGGCCCTCCGCTGGACTCTCTCCAGGAGATCCCTGTCCTTCTTGTACTGGGGAGCCCAGACCTGGATACAGTACACCAGGTGAGGCCTGACCAGGGCAGAGTAGAGGGGGAGGATCGCCTCCCTTGACCTGCTGGCCACGCTTCTGCTAATGGACCCCAGGATCCCATTGGCCTTCTTGGCCACCAGGGCACACTGCTGGCTCATGGCCAACCTGTCATCCACCAGCACCTCCAGGTCCTTCTCCACAGAGCTCCTCTCTAGCAGGTCATGTCCCAACCCGTACTGATACTTGCAGTTATTCCTTCCCAGGAGCAAGATTCTACACTTACATATTTATGCCTTTGTGACAGAAGCACCGAAATCTCATCAAATTAGGTAGGAAAAAATCTCTATAACAGGAATATTATTATTATTATTATTATTATTATGTAGTTAAAATTGTGAAGACACATTGTCCTCCTAATATCGTTGCTACAAAAATTGAAGTTTAGTTGCGCTACGTAGTACATGTTCAGATCTGTGGATCTGGTCCCTAAATAGTGATATTTAAAACCAAGAAAAACTAAGCTGGAAACCCAGCTTCCAGTACTATATTTCATTTTGGCTTTGCACTTAAACACCTCTTGAGCAGGTTTCAGGTTTATGGTTTCTCTTCCAACCTTAGAGATACTCAAAAGTTGTTTGGACATGGTCCTGGGCTACAGTGTCCAGGAGGCCCTGCTTGAGCACTGCAGTTGGACAAGATGATCTCCAGATCTCTGTTCCAGTCTGAAACAATCTGCAATTCTGTGAAACCATACGTGGGACAGATCTCACTTAATCCTAGTTGTCCACGGCAGTGGTGTTTCCATGTGAACAGTTATCTGGGCTCCTGACAAAGGAACAGAGAGAAACCAGCACCCCACGGTGAACTGGACTCTGTTGTGTACGCTGAATCTCCTCATCTTTGAGAGCAAAGGGGCCGACTAGGTACAGTCAGTTCACATGTAACACTTCCATTGCAGAGATGTATTTTTGATCATGTTTCCCAAGCCATTACAACTTTCAGAAATTCCACTGCACTTTATCAGATCTGCAAAACTTGCGTTAGGATTTCACACTAACTAGGCTACCACATGAGATGTTCGGTAGCCACCATGCAACAGGCAAGCATTTCCTCCCAGCTGCAAAGCATGTAGGTTTGGCTCACTCAGCACTAGCTGTCGGAAACCAACAGCTGCTTGTATAAGCCTTGCAAAAGCTGGCTAAAACCTGTCTAAATCCAAAATTTAGTGTTGTACCAGCCTTATGTGAGTGCTCTGCTCTGGAGTAATTTCTTCACTCTGTCTAATAAATCAGACATATAATCAGCTTCCTGCTTCTCTCTCTGTCTTTCCTGAAACCACCTTGGCTTTGGCCCAAACATCTGTTTTCCAGATCATCTCTCCAGCATTTGCCACTACAGAACTGCTGCTTGGCTCAAATCCACAGCCATAAACAATTAAGGAACGACACACTCAGCTCCAGAAACAGCTCACTGTAATAGCAACAGTTTAATTTAACACTAAGAAGCAGCTGCAATAGGTATAGAGAGTGTCTGCTTAACTTCCCAATGGAAGGGGTACTACTGTAAGGTATCTGAAAATTGAGGATGAAATGCATCCTGTAATAAAGGGCCACCTGCAATCTGTCCTCCAGTAAAAAAACAAATACAGCTTACTCAGTTTTCAGCATACACCCTCCTTTGTTGGCACAAGGGAGCTATGCTCACTCTGGTGAACAGTGCAACATATGGAAATCCTTCCTGGATGATATTAGGAAGTAACAAAGTCCTTAGGATACTTAATCAATTGTGGTTAAGGAGAGAGGAAGAACTGAGCTGCTGCTTGAAGTCAGCAGAACTGCACTGAAGACAACTGCCTGTTGAAACACTGATGCTTCTGTGTTTCACTGAATAAAAATGGATGCAAACATGATGCAGAAAAAAGATGGCAATTTACTGAACGAGGACCAACTGGAAGTGAAAAGTTAATATTTCCAGATTTGAGAAGTCGGTCTCCTAACTATGTCTCTTTTTGAGGCAAAGCTGTGCATGCAAAATCAATTCATTATTTGAGGATCGGTTTCCCCAAGACAAAAAGAAATCAGGAATGACAGAAGGGTATGAACTTTCCCCTGCTCCTGACAGGCGTCTTCCAACCAAAAAGACAGATCCTTACCCTGCAAACATCTGTTTGTATGGATGGTGGAGACCTGAACGTTAGCATAACTCAACATAGCTCACAGTCTTCTTGCAACTTTCAGGAACTGTCCTTATGAGTGATACAATGCTGGATGCTAACAGAGATGGCTAGGGTCTCTGCTTCTCACCCCTGCCTCTTGATGTCCCACAGCCCATATGTACAACTAGGAACAGCCATATAGAAACGTAGAATCATTAGAGTTGGAAAAGATCAATAAGAGTATCTAGTCCAACCACTGACCCATCCCCACCATGCCCACTAACCATGTCCCTCAGTACCACATCTACTCTTTTCTTGAACAACTCCAGGGTGTGACTCCACCACCACCCTGGGCAGCCTGTGCCAGTGCACCATCTCTCTTCCTGAGAAGGTAACAAACTCCTCCAAGTGACCTTTCTTTTGGGTGCCTGTACCACCCATTGTTTCAGTGAAGATAAAAACAGCCTGTTTGCAAAGGAAAAAATTCAGAAACCCTCTGGGTGGCACTCAGAGCTTCTCATGCTTTTCTTTTACAATGGTGTGGGTCAGGGGAGGAGGAGGAAAGGGAGGGGAATTTGTGCTGTTGTTGAATTTCTCCTCTTTTCAAAGTCAGCCACCCCATTTGCAGCAATGCTCACAAAGGTGGTGGAGTGAGAAGGTAAGGGAAGGCAAAGCAATCAGTCCCTAATGGAGTTGGTACAGTAACAAACTTCAGGCAACAAACAAGCCTCCCAAAACTTCAGGGAACGACTTGACTTCAGCATAGAGGTGGTACTCTCCAGAATAACCCTTCCCCATGGTTTGCAGGCACAGCAAAACCAGGTTAAGCATCTGCCATATAGAAATGAGGCTTCTAGATTTTTCTGGGGCCCATGGTAGGCATGGGAATAGGGGATTTCCCTTTAAATGTCTGTGGGCCATCTTGTGATGCTGTATTTAGAGCAAGCTGAGTGTATCAGTGACTAGTCTATATATAGCATTCAGAAATGGCTGTTTGGACACTGCTGAGCTCATGTGGTTTCCTCCTGTTGCATTTGTTGTGCACAAGTCAAGGCAGGAGCCTCAGATTTAGAAGTGATTTAGGTAAGGTGGAGTTAATGTGGGTGAACAGATTTATAGTTGTTTAAAGGTTGGTTTTCATCCCTTTGAGGAAATCACACAAAACAGGAGGATGCTAGTAATGCCAGTGGTCATCCACAGATTCTAGGATGGGATCTACAACACCTGAAGCAGATGCTTATCTAGATGGACCTTAAAAACAGGAAGTTTGTGCTTTGTTATCCTTAGGTTGCCACTTAACAACTGTTGTAAATGCACCTAAATGCAGGCTGTATACAGCTTTCCAACCTGTCTCGGAGTGCGGGCTCTGAAACTTCCACTAGCACTGTGTCAGCTACCTGTGTAGGGTATGGACAAAGGGAACAGGTTTATCTAAAAGTGGCCTTCTCTTTCTCTGTACTTGACAAGTGAGTTTGCAGCTGGATCTCTTTCCTGGCCTGACTAATCCCGTGGATCTGCAGATGCAGGGAAATGCATGAAGTAGGAAGGCCATAGTGCGAAATCATGCAGCAACTGCATGTTGGTAGGGATAAATAGGCTGGGAAAGTTGGGCTTCTCTGTTACATCCACATGAATATATGCAGACAATTGCAGTGTTCATCATTCCATCTTCCATCTTATCCATTAAAGAGGTATAAGTACTTGTGGGACATCATAAAATGGTAGAATGTCTTGGGTTGGAAGGGACCTCAAAGATCATCTAGTTCCAACTCTCCTGCCATGGGCAGGGTTGCTAACCATTAAATCAGGCACTAGACATACTTTGTGCTATCCTGGAATAGACATCTAAAATAAGCTAGACTGAC